TTTTTTCTGCTTGAGGTTTTTACTTTTGGTTTCCTTCTTTTTAGTTAGTGGAAGCGAACAAGTCATTCGAAGAACCAAATCACAGTTAGTAACTACTTTAATATTACTGAACCCCAACATTTCTTTCCTTCGGTCCCTCCTGCTCTCTTAGATAACGAAAATGTAAAGAGTAAGAAGAATATGATGATGAACAGTGTCATCCAGTTACAGGTTAGAGTAGGGACCTGTCTGTCTGCTCCCAATTTCCTGTAGTTAGCACTGCTCGGCAGGTCTGAATGTCTGTCACATTAGCAAGACTATCTATGTTTTTAAGTGATAACAATGAATTTTGGCAGATGGGGGGAACTACTGCAGAGCTTCTTTTTGCGAGACTCTGCAAATAACAGCAGTGAAGTGATGTGTAAAGCTGCTGTTCCTTCACTTTGCCAGCAGGTGGAAAACTTTCCCTTTCTGGTGTGGCACTCAAAATCAGAAAAGCCTGCTATGCTCTGGCTGTCTCATTCCTTCCTTCCAGCCTTTGAGAGGGAGTAATACTACAGGGACCTCTTAATATTTGATAAGCCTGGAAAGAATTCCTGTGGGAGATTGGGGCCAGAGAAGTCTCTATTAATCTCTCGTAATTTCCTGGCCATTTGAAATATGAGAGATGAAAAACCATGTGTGTAGGCCAATACCAGAGGATGGACAGAGAGCACTGAGAAACTGTGAGGTTTACTTTAGAACCTGATACCAGTTGTGAAAAGCCCAAGGAACAGGTACAGTTGAAGGGTGTGAACATGCTGTCTTCTCGGGCAGTTCTGAGTAGTTCCTAATGATGTAGTGTAGTGACATGGAAGGGAGTTGTCCAAAAAGATTGTGTGGCTGGTAATAAATATGCTAGAGCGACTGACATAAATGAATGTCACTTTCAAATGTGTTTGCCTTTTCACCATTCAAGCTTTATTCTTTTTTCAATGTGCATTTCACTGAGCTTGGGCATTGAAATTCAAGTGGGCTGATGAGTGAAGTTTGCATCCTGTAGCAAGTTTCACTTTCTGTTTTTCATACCATAGCACTAGGCTGTCATGTTGGAGTTTCCATCAGTGAAGGGGAATGGTTTTCAACCCAAAAATTGAAAAGGAATGTTTTCATATTAATTTTAAAGAAGGAAAAGAAGAAAACATGACCATATTTCTGTTCGTGTCACTTCTTTTACATCTACCTCTCCCATCACCTCAAGCACTTTTTAAAATCATAATCTAGAGTTTTGCCTAAACGATTTGGAAGCGTCACTGTAAAGAAGGCAGTTTATTGTACATAAGTATACCATATAAGGGACCCAGTCATACCAGAGGTGCTGCACCCCAATCTTGCATTTACTCCACTGGGAGTTCTGCGTGTGCATTTCCTGGCAAGTTGAAGCTTCAGGAGATAATAGTTATGTGAAGGAGAGGAATTAAATAATCTGAATTTAAGCTTTTCCTATTAAATTAAGAAAGCGATGGGAGGAAAGACACATAGTCTTTCAGCATATTTTCATCATAATGAACCTGTTTTCTGGGAAAAGTTAGATGGAGACTGAGCTGGTTGACATATTTGCTAGAATTTGATGAAATCCTGTCCATTTAAATTTCAGTGAAAATAGCAGGAAATTTTATTGGAATTATATTTTTCTTTATAAGCCAGCTTAATTTGAATATGAAATAAGAGATTAGTTTAGCCCCTTTTCCAATAGGCAAATAATCTGCAAAGAAATTCAGAATTTGCCAATGTATTTATTTAAAATGATTTGACAAATGATTTATACACATTCCACTCTGATTGCTCAGGACCTTGTCACCACATCTTTTCCCTTTGCTGTTCATAATTTGCTGCTTGTTCTGTGTGATGGTTCACCTGAGTCAGTGCTATTGTGTCTGTTCCTGGGATGGTTGCCTTCAAATTCAAAACTGCTTTCCAGGTGGCTGCACAAACTTCTCTGGAAAAAGTCTCTTTAAAATATGTATTTATATGAGTGTTTCTTATACTTTCTGACTACAGAGATATTCTTTTCCAACAAAAACTCACACGTACAAATATTTCAGAAAATGTTTACAAAGGGCCAAACATTTTTCATAAATGTTGAATCAGTCTCAAATGTTCAGGCTGTGGCTGAATTATGTGGTTGGCAGCGCTACTGTTGACTGATAGCTCTTCAGAACTACTATCCACCTACACCAAACTTGGTAGAGAGGAGGATCCTCACTAGATCTGATGCCACCAGCAGGTTTATTACTATAATTTTAAATGTTGGGTTTAGGTAATTTTTAGGCATTGTTGGTGTTATAACTGAAAGTTTAATCCATTCTGTGCACCAAACTGGTTGTTGGTGGCAAGGAGCACACACGCCTGATTTGGAGGGAGTGGAGGGGTGGCACCAGCTGGTCAGAAAACTGGGGGATAGAATTGCTGACTTGAGTGTTCACAAGCCTGAGTCATATGGCTTGATTTGTTTGTGTGTGTGTCTGTGTGTGTGTCAGGTGGAGGCCGGGGGGAGGAGGTGGAGTCTCTGTAAGACTTGTTAATTTTAAAGTGATATTATGAAGTTGTTGTCATGAAATTTCATCATCATAGGAAACCTCTTTCTGTGTGTATCCATCCGGTTGGACAGGACCTCCAGAAGGTACTCACTAGGCTGAGGACAATGGGAAACCAGTTGGGAAACCAGTTGAGTGAAGTTGGTGTTAAGGAGAATGGGGGTTAGGAGTGGAAAGTTACTGAAGGTCAACAAAGAGCAGATGACAAAACCCAAAGGTTCTAAAAGAAATCCCAGGGGGAAGACCCACAGGACATTTGGGCAAGAGGAAGGAAGGGGATGAACTGGCCAAGGCCAGGTTATGTGAGCTGGAGGAGAATGCTCTGTTTTTGTGCATATAAGTGATGCATTGCAACAGAAGGATGTTGGATGACCCCAAGTGATTCTGATACAGGCTCATAGAATGGCCTGGTGTGTTGAGGAAACTGAGGCAGGGAATTGCAGAATTTTTGTTCCATTTTCTGTATTTTCTGAGTGATTAAGTAAATAGCAATAGTGTGTTAGAATCCTGTGCAAAGTGTCTCCGTATTATAATCTACACGTACTACATGGCCCCTGGAAGAGGTAAACACCTCTGGGTATATTTCTGGTAGAGGACATGTTAAAGCACATTCTGAGCGTCAAAGACTACCCAGCTGACTGGGTAATGTGAAGAATTTAGTCTCCTGCTAGAGACACCATAGTTTGGACTGTGTTACAAAAGGGATTTGAAATGGGACATACCTTCCTGGTTTTTTTCCCAAAGGCAGGCTTCCAATCAGTGTAAAAATTCACACACACTTTGTTTTTTCACTATTTGAACATGTAATGTAGTGGTTGTTTGACTTCTTTAAAAACTTTTAAATAAGAAATCTCCAGATTTAGAGTGTGGCTTAAATTAATGGTAGACAATGATGGGACTAACTAATAGCTCTTCAAAAATACTATCTACATACCTGAACTTGGCAAAGAGATCCTTACATGATTTGTTCCAATGGATGGTTTTTGTTTTTGTTTTTGTTTTTTTGCTTTCAGGTAATTTTTAGTCATTCACAGCTCAACTGAAATTTTGATGCACTGTGCTCCTCCAGCTGGTGGTTGTTGGTGCAACATGCAGTCCCTAAGTACATACGCTTGTTTTGGGAGCACCCGGGGGAGAGCAAAGGGAAGCAGCAGCAGATGCTTACAAGCCTGATTCACAGGAGGGGTTGGGTATGTACAAGCTTGATGGTGTTTGTGAGCCAAGTGTACCCAAACCTGACTGGTGGAGGGGAAAAATTAGACCCACATAACCCTTCCTGATGGTGGTGGTGGGGGAGATATGGAGTCTGCGCACATGGAAACCTGAGTTCACACACATCTCATTGGGGAGGAAGGGGACAAGCAACTTTGTACCACGACAGCCTGAAGTCTTCCCCTTAGAATACCTGTGTCTCCATCCTCCCTTTCATTTCATCACAATGAACTACTGCTCCAAATATCTGCAACTACAAATGTTGTGCGTGAAAATAATCTGGTAATGGGCAGAAACACAAAAGCTGCGGAGTTGAGGTTGTGGTGTGTGGTCTGTTGGAGTGGTCAAACTAATTACCCAAGCTATTTTTCTTATGGAGTCACTGCTAAATCAGGGTTTATGTTCACAATGTACTTGAGCATGTTGTCAAGTTTAACCACTTATGTCAAAGGAAAGCTCGTGTACTTAAAGTTAGGCAAATGTTTACAAGTCCTTTGCTGAACTGGAGTCTTAAGGTAAAACAAGAGAAGATTTTTATTGAGTCTCTGTTTTTTTAAAAATCTAATTAGTACAAATCACTACTGCTGTAGGTTGCTATTTTGTAGAAATAAATATTTATTTATAAATATTATAAAACCTCTGAAAAAATAAATAAAAACAATACATTAATATTGTGAATAAATATAAATGGATTAACATAAAGACACTTTTAAAAATCCATTTTTTAAGCCCCGGGGTAGCGGAGGAACAAGTGAGCCCCGGTCGTCGAAAAGGGGTCGTTTTCCACTGCGGAGGGTGCACGGAGCCAAAGGCCCTTTAAATCACCCCCGAGCTCCGGGACACCCAGCCGCCTCTGCAGCTGGTAGCCCGAGATTTAAAGACCTGGGATTTAAAGGCTGGGCCTCTTCGGTTGAGGCCCTACCCCCTGCTCAGGACTGTGGCATACTGGTAAGTCCTTTAAGTTACTTTCACCCCTGGATGTAGGAAATCTATTGGAGGATCTAATGGCCACTTTGGCAGTCTCTTTCTGGGTTTCTCTGGGCTATTTTCAGCAAAATCTTCTGTTTAACATTTTCTCATGTGAATAAATCAGTCTGGTAATGGCAAGGAGGACATAAATAGTGCAGTTGAAGTTTGGCAGTTTGCTTAATTCAAGATGGACTGATAGGAGTCTCGAAAGCTGCTTATTTGAGAATCAGTTTAGAGACGAAGGACTCCAGTGGAGGTGCAGTTTCATTCAGCTGTTTTCAGAGCATCATTACTGGAAGCATCACGTGCTGGAATGAAAAAGGGGAATGGTTCAAACATGGAGAGATTCAAATGCCAAATAGAGGCCATCTTTTTCTAACCAGATGTCAAATCCTAAATCCTGAGCCTTAGTGCACTTGTCATCTTGTCACAATTTGTTGTTACTAAAGCTGTTGAAGTTAGCGGTAAACAAAAGAAAGAAAAGCAGAATAAGAACCCTCGGCCATCCCTATGTGCAAAATGAGCTGATGGGATAGAAGAGTGTGAACACAGACCCCCCATTTTCTGGTGTCCTAACTGGAACGTTGTCTAACGAGGCAGTTGTTGAAAGGGGGCTTCTCACTGTTCTTTTCTATTTGGCATAGTTAGTTATCACGTAACAATATTTTGTCTTTAGTTAGCAGTTATGATATATTGGTATATTTTTCATATAGAATATTGTGTGTGGTAGAGAAGCACTAAATTATATGCTACTCTGAAAAGATTTGAGCATGCGTTTGAAATAGCTGTATGCATAAAATTACTATGGGAGAAAGATTGGGCCCGACGTATTAGGAGTTATAACCCTATCACCCATCTTTCACCAGCTGTTTTATTCAAATAATATTATTTGAGTTTTTCTAGGAAAAAAGAAAAGATGGTACCTTCATTTTCAAGTCTCTTGGTGAGTTTGTCGAGCATGAGGAAACATCTGGATATTTCCACACGGATGATCTCCCAGGCACACCGGCTGTATTGCTTTTCTTTCAGGAAATCCTCTATTGTCTGGAAGTATCTCTTCAGTTTGAGGCTGGTGAGCAGGAGGTTCTCATTTCCTGGGTAGGTTACCTCCTTTTCCATCTCAGCACTCAAACACGTCTCCAGCTTCTCAATCTGCTGGTGAAGTCCATTTTGGAATTCCTTTATGGAAGTCCCATTCCAGGCAGCTTGGGTGAGATTGTTGTTAAAGATATGGAAGAGCTCTTGGAGGATCTGCTGGATGGCTACCTTGGCATTCTCTTGGTGGGACAGTCGGAGCTTGAGGATATCTCTGGGCTTGAAAGCTATCCCTTCATTTAGACATTGGAAGGGAAAGTTGCCACCCATTTTCTCCAGACGCTCAAAACTCTCGCTGTTCATTCTGATTTGTAGAACATGCAGCCTGTTACAGTCCAGACATGAGATTTCACTGGAGAAGAGCAGCACGAGGCAAAATTGCAGCAAACTCCTGCTGATCATGATGATGTCTTAGATTCCCTGTGTTTGTGTAGAACTTGAGCAACTGGTGCCTGTTCAAGGTCTCCTGTAAACTTTTGTGTTTTCGACCCATGTCTCTGAATTTAAGTAGGAATTTAAGGATTCTGTAGGAAGAGATTTTTCTTTCATCACTTTCTACTTTTCAAGCTTTTGCCTGCTTGAAGTTTTTACTTTCATTTTCCTCCTTTCTATTTAGTGGAAGTGAACAAGTCATTGGAAGAACAAAATCACAGTCATTATCTTTTTTTAGAAGAAAGAATCCCCTATATTTCTTTCCTGAGGGCCCCCTGCCCCACCCTCTTAGATAAAACGAAAATTTAAAGGGTCAGAGAAGAATATGATGATTAACTGTTTCATCCAGTTACAGGTTAGAGTAGGGACCTGCCTGTCTACTCCCAAGTATCCTGTATTTAGTAGTGCTAGGCAGATCTGAATGTCTGTCACATCAGCAAGACTATATGGGGGGGGGGGGGGGCGGGGGGGGGGGGGGGGGGGCAGCCCCGAGGGAGGGGGCTCCGGCCTAAAAATCCTGTGGGATGGGCAGTAAGTTCTACATCAGCAACTGGCCGTCTGATATGAGAGAGGAAAATCCCTGTGTGTAGGGAATACCAGAGGATGGACAGAGGGCACTGAGAAACTGGGAGGTTTACTTAAGAAACTGATAACTGAAAAGTACTGTTCCAGAGTAGCAGCCGTGTTCTCGGGAGTCTGTATTCGCAGGGGTAGCAAAGGGAAAGGAGGACTTGTGGCACCTTAGAGACTAACAAATTTATTTGAGCGCAAGCTTTCGTGAGCTACAGCTCAATTTGTTAGTCTCTAAGGTGCCACAAGACCTCCTTTTCTTTTTGCAAAGACTGTATGGTTGGTAATATGCTAGAGTGACTGACATAAATGAATGTTACTTTCAAACGTGTTTCCCTTTTCACCATTCAAGCTTTATTCTTTTTTTCAATGTGCATTTCACTGAGCTTGGGCATTGAAATTCAAGTGGGCTGATGAGTGAAGTTTGCATCCTGTAGCAAGTTTCACTTTCTGTTTTTCATACCATAGCACTAGGCTGTCATGTTGGAGTTTCCATCAGTGAAGGGGAATGGTTTTCAACCCAAAAATTGAAAAGGAATATTTTCATATTAATTTTAAAGAAGGAAAAGAAGAAAACATGACCATATTTCTGTCCGTGTCACTTCTTTTACATCTCCCTCTCCCATCACCTCAAGCACTTTTTAAAATCATAATCTAGAGTTTTGCCTAAACGATTTGGAAGCGTCACTGTAAAGAAGGCAGTTTATTGTACATAAGTATACCACATAAGGGACCCAATCATGCCAGAGGCGCTGCACCCCAATCTTGCATTTACTCCACTGGGAGTTCTGCGTGTGCATTTCCTGGCAAGCTGAAGCTTCAGGAGATAATAGTTATATGAAAGAGCGAGAAATTAAAAAAATCTGAATCTTAGCTGTTCTTGTTCAAGTAAGAAAGCTATGGGAATAAAGACACAAAGTCTCTCAGCATATTTTCATCAGCAATGAGCCTGTTTTCTGGGAAAGGTTAGGTGCAGACTGAGCTGGGTGAAATATTTGCTAGAATTTGATGAAATCCTGTATATTTAAATTTCAGTGAAAAGAGCAGGAAATTTTATTGGAATATTTTTCTTCTGTGTCAGCCATCTTAATCTGAATGTGAAATAAGAGATTAGTTTAGCCCCTTTTCCAATAGGCAAATCTGCAAATAAATTCAGAATTTGCTAATGGATTTATTTAAAGTGATTTGACAAATGATTTATACACATTCCACTCTGATTGCTCAGGACCTTGTCACCACACTCATTTCCCTATGAGTATTTGCTATTCATAATTTGCTACTTGTCCTGTGTGATGGTTCACCTGAGTCAGTGCTATTGTGTCTGTTCCTGGGATGGTTGCCTTATAATTCAAAACTGCTTTCCAGATGGCTGCATGAACTTTTCTGGAGAAAAGTCTCTTTAAAATATGTATTTATATGAGTGTTTCTTATACTTTCTGACTACAGAGATATTCTTTTCCAACAAAAACTCACACGTACAAATATTTCAGAAAATGTTTACAAAGGGCCAAACATTTTTCATAAATGTTGAATCAGTCTCAAATGTTCAGGCTGTGGCTGAATTATGTGGTTGGCAGTGCTGCTGTTGACTGATAGCTCTTCAGAACTACTATCCACCTACACCAAACTTGGTAGAGAGGAGGATCCTCACTAGATCTGATGCCACCAGCAGGTTTATTACTATAATTTTAAATGTTGGGTTTAGGTAATTTTTAGGCATTGTTGGTGTTATAACTCAAAGTTTAATCCATTCTGTACACCAAACTGGTTGTTGGTGGCAAGGAGCATACACGCCTGATTTGGAGGGAGTGGAGGGGTGGCACCAGCTGGTCAGAAAACTGGGGGATAGAATTGCTGACTTGAGTGTACACAAGCCTGATTCATATGGCTTGATTTGTTTGTGTGTGTTTGTGTGTGTTGTGTGTGTGTCAGGCGGAGGCCGGGGTAAAGGGGAGGAGTCTCTGTAAGACTTATTACTTTTAAAGTGATATTATGAAGTTGTTGTCATGAAATTTCCTCATCATAGGAAACCTCTTTCTATGTGTATCCATCCGGTTGGACAGGACCTCCAGAAGGTACTCACTAGGCTGAGGACAACGGGGACACTTAACTTTAAGACTGTGTTTCCGAGTTGGGAAACCAGTTTGGCGAAGTTGGTGTTAAGGAGAATGGGGGTTAGGAGTGGAAAGTTACTGAAGGTCAACAAAGAGACAGATGACAAAACCAAAAGGTTCTAAAAGAAATCCCAGGGGGAAGACCCACAGGACATTTGGGCAAGAGGAAGGAAGGGGATGAACTGGCCAAGGCCAGGTTATGTGAGCTGGAGGAGAATGCTCTGTTTTTGTGCATATAAGTGATGCATTGCAACAGAAGGATGTTGGATGACCCCAAGTGATTCTGATACAGGCTCATAGAATGGCCTGGTGTGTTGAGGAAACTGAGGCAGGGAATTGCAGATAGGGTTTACAATTTTTGTTCCATTTTCTGTATTTCTGAGTGATTAATTAAAGAGCAATAGTGTGTTAGAATCCTGTGCAAAGTGTCTCCGTATTATAATCTACACATACTACATGGCCCCTGGAAGAGGTAAACACCTCTGGGTATATTTCTGGGAGAGGACATGTTAAAGCACATTCTGAGCTTCAAAGACTTCCCAGTTGACATGTTGGATGAGCCCCCACTTGTAACGCCGACAGGCTGAAGTTGTCAGCAGGCAGGATTGAACCTTGGACATTTGAACCTTAGTGCATGAGCCTTGACTGTGTGAACATGTGATAATGCCTCTTAAGCCAGGGTTGTAGCAGACTCCTCAATCTCTAAATGGTTCAGGTGCCAATAGAGAGTGACAGAGCACCACAACAACCAGGCATGGGTTGCATACTTCCCCTTGCTGAGGAAGCCCAAGCCAAGCTTCAGAGACTTCCCAGCTGATATCCCAGCTAGGGTGACCAGACAACAAGTGTGA